TCGCTAGTGTAAGCGGATATTCTGTACATTATGTCAAGAATTAGTTGACGCCAGTACACGACTAACAATGACTAAGCTCGAACATGCCTCAGTGGTCGAATTGGTGAAACGCCCGCCTAAAGTGTAGGGAGGTTCAGGTTCAAACCCTGGCTGTGGTAATATTTTTCGCAATAAATGTCCTGTGTTAAAAACACGTTGCCGATTATGGTCGATTGAAAGCTTAATTATTATTCTGTACGTTGTTTGCACTGCGCAAATATAATTTTTGTTTTCTCGTGCATCGAGAAGCGTGGGGGAAAAAAAATGTATTTAACGCGGCAATGAAAATTATTTATTTGAAACTAATGCACGGCAGCGAGAAAGTTGTTCCGAACAATCTCACGCAACTTCTTGAAAGCGTTAGAGGGAACTAAACTCGATCATCTCTCACGCTTTCGTAACTAACTTTATTATCCGATCTGTCTCGGTACCGCGATGGTACGATGCGATTCGAGCGTGTATGAAACAATTGGACCGGCGGTTTCTAAATCAGCATTCGTATGCGTCTACGCGGATAGATTCTGGCCAAGTCGGGGCCCGGTCGATTGTCACTCGCGGTCTATCGGTGTGCGATGGAGCACACGTTTCGGATGACGGCACGAAAGGGTGAAAGCAAGGGACGTGAAACAGAAGAGTAGCGGCGCGGCGCGAGTTGCGAGGTCGGGCCGAGTGCGGGCGCTCCGTGTGACCACTAGATTAGTTTTGTTCGAGGCAATTTGAATTTAGATTAGTTGTCGCAAATTGCCGTAGCCGATCGCCACGCGCGACTATAACGCGTTCCCCGCCGCCGTTATTTCTCCGCCGCGGTCATTTCGTGTTGGCGCGTACCAGCGTCATTCGTTCTAGATAACTAAACAACTCAAATTCGAGAACCGTGACGCACAAGTCGTGCAGAGCCCACGTACGTATAATTTCCGATCATCGGAGGAAAATATGCGAATAAATCAGTTCTTTCGCGACATGAAAATAGTTCTGGTCGTAATTAAGGTGGTTCCTACACGAAGGAGCGAATAGTGTGGGTGCTTTGGTGGCGCTTCTTTTTTTTATAAATTCATATGAATTTTCTCATAAAAAAAAAATCTATGCATTATTGATGAAATGCATTGATATTCTAGGTTGTATACGCACGTTTGAAAATATTCGACGTTGTCAAATCTCAAAGAGCTTTCAGATTTCCTCAAAACATATTTTTTTCACTTTACAAACAAATATATTTGCTTGCAGAGGTCGATGACCTCATATATTCAAGCGTACTTCAATCCTTATGACATTTATTACGTTTATGCATGAAATAATATTAAGGAGAGCTTTTGCGAGTGATCGGCCCACAACCCCTATGTTAAAAAGCACATTTTTTTCTTTCTTTTATTTCACCGGCGACCGAGTCTAAAATTTCGCGTGCTGGTAGGTAAAACGTGCAGCTACAACCTACTCAAATTTGGATTTTTTTCTATTTCTATTTGTGCAAGAGCCACCTTAAGAAGAACTAGTTCACGTCGGTCAACATAATTAATCTCAATCATTTGAAGTGCAGTCTCATCAATGATACGACATATTTGCAAAAATATTGTTTAGAACATGTCAGTGGAAGCTATTTTAAAGATCTTATATCGGCAATAAACTCAAATCGCAGATGCATAGCAGGGCCGAATTTTGGGGATAAACGGAAAATCAATTTTTCTTAAGAGCAAATGTATTTTCCGTAATACACGGATAATATCGTTGTTATACTTGGGTAAACGGCGAGGAGTGCAATCTTCAGTTGTTCTGTTATCGACGTTTACATTTGCGAGAAAAATATCTTAGCCTTTTTCTCACGATAGACGCGAATGGTCAAATGGATTTACTTGAGGGTGATCCGTATTATTTCCCGAGACACTGCGATAATATATAGATTGAGAAAACTCTTCGCGCGACACTTTTAATATTAAAATAACAGCGATGTCATGCTAATGCCAGCTTATTACGCGTCTACTTAATTATATGTGTATCTGTTGTAAAACGATCTAGTCGTTTGGGTGTGCGTATAAGAATTATGTCAAGCATGCTTGGCATAATTCTTATACACACACATGTGTAACTATGCAGATAAACTGATACACACATATACATATATTTTTGACGTATATACATACAGATATAACTTTCCATTAATTCTCGAAATATTTCGATAAAGTACATTTCGAGCCGTGAGTGACATCAAGTGAATACAGCATTGCATAGCGTACGATTAATCATGGAAACTGTCATTTTATGTAATAGTCGACGCACGACACAGTAACGATTAGATTATCGCTTGGTCGATCGGCCGCGATCATTAAACGCGTTCCATCTTTGTCCATCGGAAGTGATGAACATGATCCCAGTCCGTTTCGCTCTTTACGCCTGAAATAATAGCGCGTATCAGCTCCAAGTGTTGTATTGCTTTTCGAATTTTCGTGATTTGGCTCGCGGGCCCCGACTCGTTTGTATCGACGATATGTGCGGTTAACCACGTTCGGTATTTTCCGCAATTGGGTGATATTGGACGGATAGATGGACATACTGCTAAACTCGCAGCGGAGAAGCGGAAAAAAATGTGTAGCGCAAACTTCGACGACGGCAACGAGGGAAAACGCGAACCGCGATGCGTCATTTTCATGGAATATTTGCGCCACTCGTCTAGATACAATTTCGAATAATCGTTGAAAACTGTCGCGCTACATTCCACGTTTGGAAACGTTTTATTTCGTATTTTCTCGTCGCAGCTGGGTTCGTCGGGTTCCTCTTTATTTTTAACATTCCGTTTGCAATACCAATCGCGCGATTCAACTAATTATCTATTCGATCTATTTGTATTCACATATATATCGATACGCGATCGTATTTGGCTAATATGATATAAACGCTTATTAAATAACCGAGCTAGCTCTATTGTTCTAAAAATTTCCAACTGATTTCTGAATCTGTTTCGTCAAAACTCTTTTTATTTAGCAATGCTTTTAGCTAGCATTACAAAAGCGATATAAAAATAAATAAAATATGTACCGTCTCCTTCGCTTCTAGATGTGTGCACACTCGAAGATTTGGGTCAACGATAAGCCTTCAGAGAATCGCGATATTTATGGAAATTAAATCTTGGCCGAAAATAGTATACAGAAATAACAAGTACACATTCGAACTTCAAATTATCGCTACGTCGAAATACACACAGGAAAAATAGGTAGTAGCAGCGCTTCGATATTTGAGATTAAACTGACGTGTTGCAAGATGCATCTTTCGCCACTGTCTGACGTATGGGAATATCAGCAGAATAAGAAAATCCCCTATTCTGTGCTTTGTAGAATTGACCCACCCTACGTCTGAATATTCTTCTACGTATGTATTTCGTATATTTCTGTATCCGAGTATTCGCCTCACGTTGCTCCTTCGCTCCAAGGATAAGTGTTGCTCAGAACTTGAATTCGATATAGTGAAAAGATGAGAAACAGAGAAAAAGAATTCATAATCGCGCGGATTGAATGCGCAGGTTCTTAGAAATATCATTAAAGGATACGGTGAAAACAATTATTGAACATTCCACGCGATAGCAGAAGTGTGGTACGAATACTTATAATCGTATATTGAAATGAGAAAAAGTAACGTAATACATACATGTATGTAAGACTAATTGTAAGTGAAACCTCAGTCGAACATATTTTCAATGTGTCTTCTTCTGCTTGAAGTAATTCTTACTATCAATTTCAAATTCCGAACATTCATTATCCGGTGAGCTTATTATTATTCCCAGAAGGGGACAGAATATGCTCGAAAATAACAATGAATAAGACAACATTCCCTCGAGGTTCTTAAGACAGAGATTCATCCTGGATCACTCTTCTTTTGAATATCCTTCCCCGGGTGTACTTCCGTCTCACTACTAACAGGATCCTACCGTCATCTTCCATGCGTGCCGCAGGCGGAAATCTTTTTTCTTTCATATGCTGCGTGGTCGGAATTTATGCGAGCGGCATGCACCGGGATCCGGGACGTCCGTCGTACGGACAGAAATGAATAGAGCGCGGCTGGCTGCCGGGTACTTTACAAATATGTGACCAGAAAACACGCCGAGGGCTCAAGCTTCTCCATACGGACTTCCGCTCTGTTGCTCCCTCTTCCATTTTCGAACATTTTTGGTTTGGCCATTTTTATATTTTGCGCCTTTATACCCGATGCGAATCGACGATTTTTGAAATAGGGGTCACAAGTGAGAGACACAATGTGTCGGCGATGCTAAATACGGAAAACTGATACGTAAAAACTGACGATATCAAACTGATGGAAATTGCTGTTCTTTCACATTTGCTTATAAACATGTATATCTGAAATCAGTTCAGCGGGAAAAGCAATTTATTTGTTTCATGTGTTTATACGTGTATATGTATTGTGTCGTTCCGGGCACAACGGAATGGTCCGCTCATCCGTGTACTGGGAGCCGGTACGAAAATGCCGAGAGTGGTCAAGGGAGCGAAGGTTTGGTTGGAAGGTACAGGGCAAAATTGATAGTACGGTTATTTCCCTTGAAGTCTTCTAAGTTTATTCGTCCGCTTTTACACCCCAGTGGTTTCCCTCGATTATCACAAGTTGCACTTAGGTCTAATTCACGCGAAGTTTAAAATGACACGTAACAGTCGCGCGAGTTATGTGACTATCCGCGGGCGCTGCCGCTTTTCAATTGCTCGCGCGTTAAGCCCGAGTTACACTACGTATTGTGGATCGCGGGTCGGATTGAGATTGCGGATCGCGGATCGCAATTCCATCAATCGGATCCGAGGCTGTCTCGTCTGATTGGCTGAACTGTGATCCGCAATCCGCAATACGTAGTGTGACACGGGTTTTAAGCTCATATCAGACTACGGATTGAGATTGGGATTAGATTGAAATTTGACCAATCACAGTAAAGTTTATTAATCTCAAGTTTAGTAACTTTTACTCTAATTGGTCAATTTTCAATCTAATCTCAATCTCAGTCTGTAGTCTGATACGGGCTTTAGGCTGCTCAGGTTGTTGCTGGACTCGAGCGTCGCTCGTTGTCTCCGATCGTATCATCTTTGGCTAATGGGAGTTGTACCTTTCTTCTCTTTGTTACTACTCGTATGGTAATTAATATTACTATGGTAATTACTATGAATACGATGCCGAGGCATATTAAAAGTAGAATATCATTGGTGGCAAATACGCTGTGTTGGTATTCCGTTAAATCCCGATTTACCTCGTCTAGGCTCACACTTAGCCGAGTTAGCTCCTTCAGGTCAGTAATGAATAGTTCTTCTTTTAAAGAATTTCTTGTGTTGCTGATTTTTCCGTTGGTTTTGTTAGGAAATGTAAGATTGTATTTGGGAATGTACATCTGAATGGTTTTAATTTCGGATAGTTGTTTTGTTTTCAGCATCATGCTAGGTGTCGTTATCTTACAGGTTTCATTTACTCTTACCTTTCCCGTACGTTTAATTTCAATTACTTTACTCTGTCGGTTGTTACATTCGATAGTTATTTTTACTGGCGTAGGAGTCGAATATAGCCACGCTTGTGGCTCGGTTATTGCTATCCACAGTGTCACATTAGATAAAAGCTGACGTTTTTCGCACGCATTCACGCCTTTCGCCGAGTGAATGTAGACCTGCATCTCGCAGGGTGCGTTCTCGTTTATGTAATATATCGGATGCTCTTGGTCGCAGACAAAATTTGTATTATCGCGTATACATCTGTTCAGGTCGTGCTCGCTCAACGGTGTGTAGTGATTATTTTCTTTGTGTATTGCTAAGAAGGTATGCGTTGTTTTCAAAAGCGTAAATACGTTCGCGTGGCTATGTATTGGTAGGGGTGTAATCTTCAATAGTTCGTACACTGGATAGGCAACTAAAGGAAAGGTGAGGATGGAGTAGACGTAGGGAGCATCGTAATAGGCGCTTATTTTTAGATATTTCTGGATGGTGTTCCATTGTTCAATTTGTACTTTGAAGGGGAAATGTAGTCCTCCTGACTGATATCCGGCTGCTTCCTTTAGCTCTGCTATAATATTTTCGAGAGGTATCAGATAACTTAGTACAACGCCGACTCGTGAGTGGGACAGGTATTCTAAAGCGTCTTTGGCGCAGTTTGTCAAGTCAGAAATAGCTGCGTTTATCGTTGCGAAGTGTACGTTTATTACATCCTCCTGGACTATTTTTGTCAGCTTATTTTCTATTGTCTCAGAATTATTTATTATCAATTCCTCGTTGATTCTTGCATGTTTCGATAGTCCCATGTGGCCAATCGTGCCGTTAATAATTCTTATCTGGTGCCTCATTGCATGTTGCTGAGCTTCCTTCAGCTGCTCTTGTTCAATTAGCTTTTGTTGTTCGTTGATCCGTTGCTTGTCGTCAGCATCCACAGTGCCAAATAACGTTTTGTCTGTTGTATCTACTATATTTACTAATTCGTGTTTATTTTCCGTTATTCTGTACAATGTCTGTAGGCGTGTTAATAACTGCGTTAATTTCTCGTTTTTACGTATGAAAATTCGCGTAGTGTTTAGACACAATTTCTGAGGGGGGCCCGTTTCCAAATACTTGCATAACACCGCCGCCGAACTCAGCCAGTATTTCAGATGTCCGTGTCGGATGTCCAGTGATGCAACATCAATACGGAAGACTAACTTCCAAGTACCCTCTGTCTGCCGTAGCTGTCCTATCTTCTCGTAGTATATTCCTGGCTCGTTTTCAAACTGCAGGACGTTATCGAGGATGGATTCCAATTTTGCCACACAGTAACTGGCGAGTAACCTGTAATTATGCGTTTTTTTTTGTTTTTCTAATTTTCTATACAGGACTTGAGGTGGTTCGCGTGTACGCGTATTAACCCTTGGAGAACCGCGTGAAAAAGACTTACGGAAAGGACCATGTAGGGTAACACAGGTCCCCCAGTTGTACATTTATTCTAAGTTTAGGGTCGCCATTTCGCGAAACTCCGGATTTCGTAATAACGCGTAATATTCTTTCGTGTCGAACACGTCACTGTCTATAGGCGAAGATGAAAATTCTCGTCGGCCTGATAGTCCGCTCTGATCGTTGAGTCTGAACTTTCCGACCGAGCGTCGTCTCGCGCCGGGGACAGTGTGCTTATTTCGGGCTGATAAATGTGTTGTAATAAAGAATCGTCTAGATCCGCGAACGGAAATTTTCGCACTACGAGGGTGGGTTAAAAAGTTTTGAGCCCCAACATGAAGCATTATTTGTCGTTGCTACTTCAGTACTGCTACTGTATATGCTTTGAAGGACACCTCTAAAAATTTCAGCCAATTTAGACTCTCAGTTGTCGTACAACAGTTTGTGTCAGTATATGGATGTAGCCGAGGGGGGAACCGTTGAGGACACTGTGGCGTACAGATTTACGGTATTGCTGGGCATTACTAGGCACTTTTTGGGCATTACTTTGGGCATTAGGCTTTGCTGGAGCATTATAAAGATAAACTAAGGTAAAACAAAGTAAATAAGATAAAAGAAGATAATAAGTAATGTCCACTGGGCATTAGTGGGCATTGGTGTACAAGATTTTGGTCAGCGGATTCTCCGTCGATGTTAGTATTTTCGTAGACATGGAAAACATCGAGTATCGGGCTAAAATTCACGAATTTCAATTCGAACTGATTGACTACGCCCGGTATTCACCAGATGTAGCCCCCAGTGGCTTTTTCTGTTTCCTAAACTCAAAGTTTGGCTCGGAGAACAGAAATTTTCATCGAACGAGAAGGTCATAGCATTCGTAGATGCCTATTTTGCAGAGCAAGACGCCAACTATAGGCTCAAAACTGTTCAACCCACTCGTATTACTATACAACATTAAGGTGCAACTCCTGCTCGGATACACAGTTGTCGTCCGGGGATCGCGCGTCTGAATCGCGGCGTACATTGTCGCGGTTTTCGCTCATGGCTTCACGCGTCGGGGGGGGGGGGGAGTACCGAGTCTCTCAATTGACCGTTTCGGTATGCAGCCAGGGTCCGTTTTTGACAGATGACGAGCTCTGACAGATTCCGCCGTTCAACATTTACGCACGCGTCGGCTTAAATTTTCGGACTTACAGTACGATAACTAGTCGCGTGATTCCTCTCGCTTGTTGCATTTCCGACTGCATGTTGTGGTAGGTTCGCGTTGGCTTCAGTGTCGCTGGCTGCTGGCGGTCACTGCCCGAGTGTCGTGGACGTTCTCCGATGTCGTTGACTCTCTGTCGGGTGTCGCTCTGCTATCACTGCTGACGCTGCTTTCGCTGTTATCGCTGTTACCACTGCTCCGGTGTTGTTGTCCGTTTCTCTGACGGCTATCGGGTTTCGATGTCCTGGACCTGGCCTTGCTGTTCCTCTTCGGGATGCCTTACGCCGTTTCACCCGTTATGTTTTTACCAGACCTTCTTGTCGTGGGTTGGCTTCACAATCGTGGACTCCCAGAATGGCGAATCACAATCCCACCGCTGCCACCAGAATTGTTGTGCCGCTCCGAGCACAACGGGATGGTCCGCTGATCCATGTACCGGGAACCGGTACGAAAATGCCAGAGAGTGGTCAAGGGATCGAAGGTTTAGTTGGAGGGTAAACTTGATAGCACGGTTATTTCCCTTGAAATCTTCTCAGTTTATTCGTCCGCTTTTACACCCCTAGTCATCCCAGCGTGGTTTCCCTCGTTTATCACAAGTTGCACTTAGGTTTAATTCACGCGAAGTTCAAAGTGACACGTAACGGTCGGGCGAGTAATGTGACTGCCGCTTTTCAAGTGCTCGCGTTAGACTATTGCTGCTGGGTCCGGTAGTCGCTCGTTGTCTCCGGCCGGTCAACATTTTCGGAACCCTGACCGCGTTGCAGCGAGCCCCCGAATTCCTAAACATGCGGTGATAGTACGCTTATCGAAAATTTATCAACCCGTTGCTAAGTACGGTGGCTGCCGTTACCCTCGCAACACAGTATATCTACGATTATACTTATCCAACACTTCTTCAAAACTCGTCAGTTGTTAGTTTCGTAAGAAAAATGAGATACGTATATACATAGTATATTTACACATACATTTGTAAATATTACGACCAATCTTTTCTTTTTAGCGAGGCAGTGGAGCGGAGCAATATTTTATCAATAATATATGATAATCTGAGGTTGAGAGTAAATTTTGTAGCACGTCGGTTTTGCGGATTTCGACTTTTTCACGGATCTGCCACATAAATCAGCATGCGCCATAAAGATCCTACGCACATAGTCATAAAATTCTCGACAGGCAGTTACGACGATGATCTTTCTCCCTGCCGCGCGCAGAAGTGGGAGGGAAAGGGATATCGTTCTCGCGCGTAAATCGTTGTTTCGCCCAATACTGATGAATTCGTTATTTAGAGTTTACGGAGGGTACAGATATGGAAGGGGCACTTATTACGTTTCGGCGTCCCGATGGGAGCGTGCGAGATTCCGCGCGTCACGTCGACGAGCGTCGGTCCTGGAGAAGCTGCGAGGGATAATAACCTTCGCGGCTATAAAGGCGCGCAGGAAATTAAAATCGGTTAACTGCTGCGACGAGGGAGCGTAGACGAATGCACGGCGACCTATTGGATGTCGTACCATACAATTCAGATCGACACGGGGCAATACCGTCCATTAAGCTCTCTCTACGACCGTTTTCCGGCTTTACGTGCAGCGGATTGCGTTCTTTTAGCCGTTATTTGTAGAATTGGAAAATATGATGTTACGGTAATTAAGGAGAGATTAATTTTCGACGGTAAAATCTGCCGATGCCCGGCGCGCATAATCGATTGTGTAAACTCATAAACGAATAAATTTGCATTATACGTTCCGGAAGCGCGCGGAAAAGTTGAAATGCCCGGTGAACGAGCGAAAATGCAATCGCAAATTACTCTCAATGAAATATCGAGCGCTCCATTAATCGGCCCTGGCTGTCCTCGTCTGAATTTCACATCCGACTGCTCGAATCGTTCTTTTCAAGTCGATACAGATAGTTTCGCGTCGGACAAGATTTCGCGCTGACTACAGCGGGAAAATTTAGCGCCGGGGAATAGTATTTCGATTAGAATCTTTCGGCGGGGGGTGCTAAAGCACCGGGGCTATATACGCGCGCTGACTATCGCAATGCGAAGCATTAAACTTCGGCACGAGGTCCGTCACGCGACGCGAGACAAAAGATGGAAATCGCGTTTGAAGACGAAGTCGGAAAGGAAGACGAGCCTTTATGGCGAGAGCACGCGGGTGGCGGCAGGCAAAAGGCGAGTTGCATAGTACGTAAATCCGATATTCTCACTGCGCGCCTTACCTCACTCTCTTCGCGGGAGCGCTGAATATCCGTCACACGATACGTGAGTCTCGAGAGGATTTACTTTACTGCAGATTGATGCATGAAAGAATATTATTTTACCGGCGTTGAAAGCAACGCCGGGTTATAGCGAGCGATAGCAGTTTGGGAAAACTGTTTAGCGTCGAAGTGACGCCTCCTACAGAACGCTCCGATATATGTATATTTTTTTTAAACGATCCAACCCCTTCCTCCGAAATGCTCTATCTCTCCTCCAGAAGTTGTTTGCGCGCTCATTCATAGCCTTCGAGTGTATACGTTGTAATATTTCTGGAAATTATCAGATCTCGTTTTCGGGAACGAGACGCACGGGGTCCAACTTTCTCATTTTACATCCGCGTCCAATTATACTTTTCTCAGGGAAAACGGAACATTTCCACGTCGTTCGACCATTTAGCCGGAGTATGTACGAAGTTACGACGCCGGCAGTTCATTTAGATAAGATCTTCGTCTTTCGCCATTCGACTGCCAGACTTCTCGGAGGATAGCAGTTCCAGATTCTATCACTGGCAAAACAAATCCACTATCCATTCCCCGGTCGGACGTTTTAATCGGCTCTTTGCATCATAGGGAAGGGAGGTTTAATGGTTATATAACATATGATTGTAATAACACCCCAACGATATGAGATTCCAAACGATGTACGAATGTACGGACGTCGAATCGCCACACGGAGTTAAAATACTACAGATACGTATCTCGCGAGTTCTATCGATTTCTTATAAAGTTTCGTTATAACGGTATTTTCGTCGCTAGTTAGATCGAGGCTTTTTATAACTTCCTCTCATTCTCCTGCATTACTTTAAGATAAAATTCTCTGACTTCCCACACCTTCGCCCGGGACGCGCAGGAACGTGGGAATTTTTCAAGCATGGATTCTTCATAAGAAAAATTCCTAGAGATACCGCCGCGACTCTCGTTTCTCTTTCTTTTACACGCGGATAATATGTACGTGTGCGACCGCTCTTCCGCCGTTTGCAAGTTTCCGAGTTGGTCCACTACACCAACCACGCGACGCTCGCTTCTTCGTCCCCCGTCCCTGTGTAGAGAATGTAACGAGCATGCGGGGGAGGACTTCACGATTGTAAAAAGCTATACGGCGTACGGCGCAAGGGGTGCAAGTTGGTTCTCTCATTTGAATACTTAGATTGGAAGGGTCGCGGAGGGGCTTCGGGATCCGAGTAAAGAGTGGAGGTAGATGGTATCCGTGCGAGGGGCGGGGAAGGCCTGGGGGCCGCTTAATCGCGTTTTCCGAGAAATTTATGAGATCTGAGCCGATAAGGTAGGGAATAAGAGCAAGTCTGAGAGACCTCGAAGAGAAAAAAAAGGAGCGGCGCGAGAGAGAGGGAAATAAACGGAGTTCAGGGAGGGGGACTGGAATCGTGGTTCAAATATAACAGTTCGGTTTAATGCGGGGAAACGTCTGTGATTTCCCCCAAAATACCCGACGATCTTCCACGGTCCGGAATGTTTCTCAGACACGAGGGAAAAAAATGAGGATTATAACGATCAACCGAAATTGATTGACAACTGTGTCTGGATAGTCAGATGTCACTTTTCTATCGCAATAGAAAAATAAGTATTGTTAAGACATAAAGTCTTTCAAATTTAAATTTTTTAATTATTACATAAATTTCTTAAGCTCCTTTAAGAGAAAACTTGGCTGAAAAAGAAAGAATCGTGAGGCTGTGCAGTCGAAAGGCGGCTGAGAAAGATTTTGTTAGTCGTGAGATAAGCAGACCGCTGTCATGAAATTTTTTTTCGGTTTGCTTCAACATAAAAAGATAAATTAAGAAATATACCCATTAATATAATAGCTCATTATACTTTTTAAGTGAAAGTATTATGATTCATTCAATTTTGTGTTCTCTGAATATAAAATTCTGTTCTATAAAGTTTTTACTTTATCGAATTTAGCCACTGTGGATTTAACTATTTGAGTGCGCTAAAAAAATGCAAAGAAAGAAATGTCTAATTTTGCAGCACATTACAATATTTATGACACAAAAATGCTCTCCTCTGAAAATTGTCTAAATTTTTTACTGCTTTTTATTGGCAAAAAAACCATTTTTGAGATTCATATATATGTAAATATGCTGCATATTTCCAATAACGTATTTCCAAAACTGTGATATTTGATTGAACCCAAAGTCTATCAATAAATCGACATACTTCGCTTAATATGCGGTGGATCTTTTATTTGCAACATTACATCGTGCAAGCGAAAAAAAAAGATATTTTATTCACTCTTATCTTATCATTTTCCCGTAATTTTTACTGCAAACAGAGGGAAAAAGATAGAGGAATAAGCAATGGAAAACATAACACGAGCAAAACGGACAGCGTCGTAGCGTGAGAAAAAAAACGCGATGACAAACGCGAAACGTTTGTCCTATCCTCGCGTTTTTACGTTGATCAATGTGATCGTGGAACGGAAGATAATCCGCATTAATAGGAGGTAACGTGGCGGACTGGCGGTGAAGTTTTTTCGCGGTATAGCGCGGCGCGGCGCGACGCCAGATAATTGTGATCGCAGTCATCGTCTAGCGCCACTAATCTAGGATATTTCTCTATTAAGAGCACTTAATCTTTGTAGCTGATGATGTCGGCGCGAAAGAAAGGTTTATCTGCCCTCGTTCTTGTTTTTCCATCATCAGTCTACCACCATGGCAAAGAAGTGATATCGATAGATAGGTAAGCCGGCAGCGGCTTTTTTCGCTTTTCCAAAGGAAAAATCGAGAGGCTGCGGCGCCGTAAGGCGGCTGATAAGGACGACTCATTGGTCCCGGGATAGACAGACTGCTGTCATTTGTCAGGCATCCTCGCCGGAAACGATGTGTACCGTTAACTCCGTCTTCCTAAGTTTCCAATTCGACTGACCGGATGCATTACTATTTTCGTAGTGTTTTTAATGCACTTTTTATCAATGCTTAAATCGCATTGCTTTTATTGATATTTCCCGATAATTCCAAGTAGCTAAATTAAAGATTTCGTCTTGCATTGGTTTAAACGTTATCGGCTATCAAAACTAAGGCTCAATTTTTAGCAGCATTTTTTCTATAAATAAAAAGTGTATTTATCTTATACATTTCAAGTTACACTGCATAGATAAGTACCGGTATTTAAACTATATGTTTATAAATCTGTGTAAAAACCGATATTAAAATATCTTATGCATGTAAGGAGACTTTTACATAGATTCAAATAATTGATTTGCTATTTATACACTGACAAAAAAATTTTTTTTCAACCAAGTAAATAGATTTACTTAAAATTAAGTTAAATTAAGTAAACTAAAAATAACATTAATAAGCTATTAGGAGTCACCTAACGAATAATTTTCTTAAGTAAAGTAATATTTTTTTGGATTAAGCGATTTTTTAACAGTGTATCCACGGTGCTAAGTTGCACGAGAAGAATCGTTGTTTAAAATACATTTGTTCATAAAGAATTTTGAGACAAACTATTATCCCAAGGCGAGAAGCCATTCAAAATTATTTGATGGAATCGTCGCTGCTGAGCGTTAAGGTGACATTAGCATTGAAAAATCTTATCTGCGAAAATCTTCGTCTCGCACGTGCGCAATTCGCACGCCGAGAGTGCATTCCACGGGCGTGGTTTTTCTCGAGCCAAGC